CCACAATTAAATTTTTAAGTTTTTGTGTATTTTTCTTGGTTTTGGAATATCAAGTAAATTAATTATTTAATAACTGTCTTGCATATTATAGGTTTTTCTCAGGGTTGACGTTTCGGCCAATTTTGGCCTTTTTCACCAATCTTGCCTACAAATAAATAAATAAATGCCTTTATTGTCAAACAATTTTACAAACAAAATAAACAAACAAACAAACAAAAGAGAGAAGAGAATTCAAAACATTATACAAATAAGACGAAAATTTAATACAATTAATACAAAAATTTAATACAATTCACACACAAGTACAAAATTATATTTAAGAATAAAAACTTACCCTGTCACGTAGAAATTAATACCACAGGTCCATATAATGAGTCACAAAATGGAAACACAAGACTAAACATGTAATTTGTTATATTAACATTTAAAATACTTTAATTTTTAACATTTATATGCATCTAGAAAGTTATATATTTTCATTGGTAAGAAATATTCTATAATAAATTTATATAAGAGTTTCTTGGGAATTTCGCGAGATAGCGGCCTTCGTGACATATTTTCCATTATATATTTTGGGCTACCCGAAAAAAGCCTTTATTTACTATCGATAGTTGTGCCTCGGTGGTACGAAAGTACTACCATTGCACGAAGGCCGCTATCTCGCGATGCGGGACTTAATATCTTACCGCTACTTTACGACAAGTCGTATTTACATACTCTGCTCTGTGCTCGTCGTTTTGTGGAAATACCCAAGCTCACCTGATGATGGGGTAGGGCCCCGAAACCGGTAGTGAGAGCACGTTGATTCACATTATGACGAACACAGCGTGGAATTAATTTCTATATTAGCAGTTCAAGGCAAGAAACTCTTATATAATTTTATTATATACCTAAAAACTCCAAGAAATTTATTTTCCATTAAATATTCTATATATACATATTTTGCGTACGCTGCATCGACAACTGATTTATCTATATTAGTGGAACAAGAAAGAAATAGTGACGGAAATGTATAAAAAAGAAGGAAAAGATTAAACGGCTTAGCCCTCAACAACTCGCAACCGTATACACCAGTGTACACCAATGTAGACACACAAACACACCTACACTAACTGCCTTCAGGCTTCATCAGTACGGTAAGGAATCAGGAAGCAATGAAACCGATCCCGAAACACAAAAAACCAGGAAACCAACGATGCACGAGGCACCGTGTGCAACCTAGGAGATGGAAAAAATGATGATGAAGAAATGAAAATTAATGATGGAAAACGGGAGCCTAAAGCCCCAATTTTCAGCCCAGAACCAGAGTCGCCCAGGATTGTGGGCTTCGTCAGAACAGCCGCGGAGGTAGCCAAAAACAACCCGCCCCAATACCCTTAGCCGTGGTACCAATATGAACAAGAAAAAAATAGTGAGTGAGTCAAATAGAATCAGTCGAATAGTGAGCGAATAAAAAATCAAAAATAACATATAACTACCAGTATTAAAAATTTTGTTGTTTTCTTAAATCTCTGTTTTGTATTATTGTTTTTATTTGATCGACAAAATTCGAAACAATTTCCGAAGATTTTGCTATGTCAATTCTACTTACTACAGACAGTATTAATAATATATTAGGTTTTGAGTACACACAATTTGAAATTGTTCGGATTAATATTTACCGATGTTGTTTACATTAAATCCATATAGCATCCTAATATTTACCGTTACTAATGCAATATTCGGGTTTGCTGAGGCTGCTGTTAGCTCTTAAAACAAATTACAAGCGATATGAGCTGTGCGGTTTTAACATGAACGCTAATTAAAAATATGATGCATTAAGAGAAGTCGAACAAACCTGTTATGAGTTCCAGTTTATACAGTATACAATAAGAAATATGCTTGTGTTGATTTTGATTTAAATTTGTAGTACTTTAATAAATAACAACATTTACAAATTATTAGATGATTAACTTATTATTAAATGAGAACGCGCGCCACCATTTTTTATATAGCTATTGATGTTTTTAACTTCTTTGATCTTTTTAAAGATTATGTTCTACTGACCACCATTTGTCGATATTAGCAACATATACTGTATGTCCCCGGGTTTTATTTACAAGAGGAAAAACTTTTTTATTTTCACATTTTGTAAGACAGAAATTTCAGAATAATGAACAAGAACTATCAGGCACAATGGAAAAAAGATAAATCGCCTTTGTAAAAAATTTGAAAGAAGACAGCAGGCGGCTTCGCGGCTTAAAGATTTATTTTTAAAACAAAATGAAGACTGGTTAAAGGAGGATTTTATCCTTGAGTTAAATGAACCCCTTCCATCCACATCATCTGCCGGCCGCCCACGATTACCTTTTTCGGAGCAATCTTCCAGAACCCAGAGAAGAACGGCCTCAAAAATCTCCGAGGAACATAGGCATGATTGGGCTTTACTTGTGCAGGCTGCAAAATACTTTACTTGTGCAGGCTGCTTTGTAAATTTAGTTATCCTGTCGATGTACTTACTTGTGTACCTGACTTTATCGAAAAGAAGTTAAATGAAGAACAATTTGAAGAGAAGCATGGAAAAGAAGAGGAATACGAGGACGAAGAGCAAGAAGAAGAAGAAATGCAAAAAGAAGAAGAGCAAGAAGATTGTTTTTGAACAGCAGTAATTCGATGATTGATCAACTTTCTTTTTTGGAACTAGATACAGAAGATGCTTCATAGGTAAAAGTTAATGACACGTTGAATGAGAAGATTAAAAATAACTTCATTTTAATATTATTTTTAACACAAATTTACAGTCAATATTTTTCATTAAATGTAAGTTGTTTAATTTTGGCCAAAAAAGTAGCTTCTAGAAACCATAGTGCATATATTAATGTTTTTCTCAATTTTCTCTAAAACGGTTTTTAAAAAAATATGTAAAAAATATGTTTTTCTTAATTTTCTCTAAAACGGTATAGAAATTTGAAAAAGTGGGAAATAAACGGGATTAACCATTTTATAACAAGCAAAAATGTTTAAGAACGCTGCATTCGGCTGCATTTATCTGCTAAAAACTAATGTGATGTCTGAGTAGTTATATCTACAGTGTGAGTTTCCTACGATGTTCTATCTTGTTCTGTATCTTGGAAACTACTGAAGATAGAGAGTCGGTTAAATGGGGAAAGAATTGCAGTTTTGTGGGGTTATAAATATGCTCGTTTCAGATTTTTGAAAAAGTTCATGGCTTACTAGATATTATAAAGGCGTATATTTATGACCCCACAAAACTTCAATTCTTTCCCCATTTAACCGACTCTCTATCTCCAGTAGTTTCCAAGATAGCCATAGAGAACATCGTATGAAACTCACCCTGTATACAATTTACGTAATGTCTTGTTTTGTTTGTTTTTTCTGCCCCTTCTATACTAACATATAAAACCCTTAAGTGACTGACATACTGATTAATGACGATTCTGCTCAAATCACTCAACGTAAGAAGTTCAATTTTGGCATACAGGTTGATTCTAGGGTGTAGAGGTTCGATAAGAAGGGATTTTTCGAAGTTCCAGTTCCAAGGGGGTGAAACCACCCCTCAAATATTACAATATTTTTTATTTAAAAAACGGCCAAGTTTCTGAAAAAACGCTTAACACGAATATTTTATTTAGTTTTTTTTTACATATTTTAAAATTTTAAAAAATGTATACAGGGTGTTTTGAAAAATCTGGTCAATGATTAATGACGATCCTGCTTAAAGCGCTTGACTTAAAAAGCTGATTTTTGGAAAACAGATTGACCTTAGGGTGTAGAGGTTCGATAAGAAGGGATTTTTCGAAACTCGAATTCTAAGGGGGTGAAACTATCCCTCAAATATTAAAATATTTTTTATTTAAAAACCGGTGAGTTTTTCGAAAAAACTCTTAAACACGTATATTTTATTTTGTTGTTTTACATATTTTAAGATTTTTTATAAATTTATACAGGGTGTTTCATAAAATATGACCATTGAGTAATCACGTTCTGCTTAAACTGCTTGACGTTTAAATCTGAATTTTGGCAAACGGATTGACTGTGGGGTGTAGAGGTTCAATAAGGAGGAGTTTCTCGAATCTCAAATTCCAAGAGGGTGAAAACGCCCCTCAAATATTACAATATTTGTTATTTAAAAAACGGTTAGTCTTTCGGGAAAACGCTTGGACAAGCATAATTTATTTGGTTTTTTTTACATATTTTGAAATTTTTTAAAAAATCATACAGGGTGTTCCAAAAAGTTGGGTAATTTCTTAACGACGATTCTGCTTAAACGGCTTGACGTAAAAAGCTTATTTTTGGCAAACGGATTTTTCGAAAATCAAATTCCAACGAGATGAAACTACCCCTCAAATATTACCAAGTTATATAATAATATCGCCATATTGTTTTTTCTCATGCTGACATAAATGTGAGAAAATTTTTCCAGTTGGTATGTTAATAGAAATTCTTGCTTTGCTTCATCATCACCATTACAAATTATTAATTCGACGCGAACGAAATCGCTGGTACACGCTAGTTCTATATATTTTTTTAAATTATAAATTATTCTTAGCAAACTCGCAAACTCAACAGTCTTCTAAATATTCCTTTTGTCATCTGAATTTTAATTATGTTACTTAAAAATACTTAATATTTTTATTTAAGATTGATAGACTACAACAGAACAAAACATTCACATTTTGTATAGTATTAAGTTGTGCCGGTTTTCGAATTCTAACGTTCCAATCCGACACGACAACTTTATCAACCTTTGTGATAGTGCCCGAAATAATATATCAGCCTGCCAGAGGTATTTTTAGCGAGCGGCACAACACTACATCACGAATAAATAGGAAGCGGGAGTAAAAGGGCTTTAGAAACGTAACGAGACGTTAGAATCCGACCCATGTTCAAACAGAAATCAAATAGTGTGTATACATTATCTGAATGTGTCAAGGAAATGGAAGATTTCCGAAATAGGCAGTTGAATAGTTTAGAAGATCAGGGGAAAACAGCATTATACCATGGTACAAAGAATACAAGGTATGATCGATAGCGGCTCCAATTTCATTCAGTTCGCACATACCACCTGTGACGTCGCTAGGAAAATAATGAATAAATAAAAAATAAAGAAAGTTGACAGGAGATCTGCATTTTTTGGGGTTATGGTTAAGAATTGTTTATTTTTAAGACTTTTTAGTTCGTTTAATTTAAAAATTACTAAAACCAGCAGTTCCAAAAATATATTTAAAGATAATAATTATATATTAACATGGATTTGGACGATAATAGGTAAGAATACTAAATTTATTTCTATATTCGGTATAAAATTGTTTATTAGGTTTTTAGTTTGCGATGTTTATGGTAAATAATTTTCATGTTCATTGCCTCTGAATTCACATGAGGACAGAGATGAGGATTATCTATGGAAAAGTAACCACAAGAGGAATTGTTACATCATTTAAAAAATGTTGGGAAGTTGAAGTTTCCCATCGAAAAGTAGAAAATGCCAATGCAAATGAATGTATTGTAATTGTGATAGAAGTAATTCCAAGGGTGAAGTTTATTACAATTAGTGGAAGTAATTCCAAGGGCGAAGAGTTTATTATAATTAGTGACCTGTGCTTCTTTTTATATGTAGATGTTTCAGGTTTGAGAATAAATCGGTTGAACGAAACCCAAAATTTAACTTTATTGGTGTATAAGACTTTTTGCCTGGGCAGCGAGTATTAACCATAAACTGTGCTCTGGGTCTACAGTTAATTTTCACTCGATTTTTCCTCCACTTGACTTCAAAAGACACAAAACACACGTAATAACACGAATCAAAATGCATCATCTTCCAAAACGCAGGGTATTTGACAAAACTGATAAAAGTTGACACAAAATTATAACCTCTAATTTAGCAAGACTTTGACAAGCGTCAAAAATCTAAAGGCGAGTTCATACGCATCGGCGTCCGTTTGTCATTCGTCGTTTCGTCAAACCAATAAAATTGAAATACGATCTGTCATTTTTTAAATAAAACTGGTTAAAAACAACAAGAGACGACGCATGGCGGATTTATATTTAAACCCATCCATAGTTAACTTAAAAATTATTAGAAACTTTTTTTAGTAAAATAAATAGATTGGTATGGGACGTCATCTGCTTTTCTTCTGTCATCGTCTGTCGAAATCTTACCTGAGAAAAAAACAGAGTATGTACCCTATGTTATAGGGCTCGTTTCTCGTTTCTCTCTACAATTTCCTGTCTCACAAATTACTGTTTGTGTCGGGGAAGGGATCATAGTTTCATAGTTGTTGTTGTTAATAGTACGCCTGATTTCAGTCCACAGGTAAATTGTATTTCCTGTCATATTTTGAATGTCAACTCTTGTTGGACTGATTCTAGTAATAGATGATATTGAAATTTAATTAAAATAATATATAACAATATCTTTTTAAAGAGTATTACTCAAAATATCGATTCTGTTTTTAAATAAAACATCCCTATTTGCAAAATAAATGGTAGGGCGCGAAATTAAGCGCGAACGTGGAACCGAGGGCAAAGATAAACACAGCAAAAATGTCTGGGGAACCGTGGGTAATCCGTATTCCGCGCAGCCGAATATATTGCACTTCATTTCATCTCCATCTGTATGTAACTCTAATTAAATACCGGTATAAATCTCCTATTCATCACTGAACGTATATAGAATATGAATTGTCGCAGTTGAATATCATGTCAGTTTATTAAGGGAACTATTTGTAATATAATTAAAACACAAATTTTATTGTGTGAAGTTTTAAGTTCATTCAGTTAATCTAAAATGTATATTTAATTATTATTATTAATAAATTATTTTTTAAAATTTCTCATTTATCGTTTATCATTTATTATTAAATTTTATTAAATTTACTACGGATAAAAAAAATAATTTCAAATTATTTCTAGATGTTTTTTTCGAAATATCTAGTAAGCCATGAACTTTTTCAAAAATCTGACAGGCGCATATTTATGACCCCACAAAACTGCAATTCTTTCCCCATTTAACCGACTCTCTATCTCCAGTAGTTCCCGAGATACCCATAGAGAACATCGTAGGAAATTCACCCTGTATAATTTTAATATTAAAAGAGAAAAGTCAGTTTTTTTATAAATATTCCTGTGATAACCCATATGCACGTCCCTGGTGAATTTATCGACACTTTTCTAGCATTGAAATATGTAGCATTTATGGTAACTTTTACCCTTAATTAATGAGTACCTTGTTTCGATTTAAAAATTAATTTGAATCACTAAAATTAGTTGAAAGAAAATTATAATAAATTGAAAGATTTTAACATCCTGTAGCTAAGAAACCAAGCAGAATCGGACCTATGTCTTATTTTTACGTGAGGAATATCCCAATGAGAGATGGCATATGTTATAGGTACGACGCTGTAGCATTTTTTATTTCCTTTAATAAAATTGAATTTAAAAATCTATTTTTATTTAAATTTCTTAGTATTGGCGCCATCTATTTGCTAGATGCCAAAGATACCAAACTCCATTTGTTACAGCTCACTTGTCTCGATATTTAATTTTTATTAGCGCATCTATTCGCTAGATGTCAAACATCATTTATTACAGTTCACTTGTCTTGTTTATTAGCGCCATCTATTCGCTATATGCCAAACTTCCTTAATTGCATTTCACTTGTCCCAATCTCACTTCGCTGTGGATTGCGATTTTCTGTTCTAGTGATTTCGATCATATGATATCACTTTTTTCTAGCTCTTTTTCTTTCTTTCTGGGAATTTGGATCTGAAGAAGACGCGTGTTTCGGCGTCCGACAAATTTTCCAGTGAAAAGCACTCTGAATCCACTTTTCGATTTCCATTGCATGGGTATCCGATTTGGAAATTTGAAAACCTTGTAAAGTATGCAATCCAGAGTATAGATCGTATTTGTTTGGTTTCTTCTTGGAATGATCACCGTAAGTTTATCCGCCATTTTATATAGCCCTATCTAACTAAATTCTATTTCAGTTATTTCCGTTTGTTATTTCGTTTATTTGAGTATTTAATTACTGGTTTGGATCGGCATATGGTTTGAATATATTTATGTAAAGCTGATTTTCAGACCGTAAGTTGTTTTTTTTATTGAGTATCTGTCCTGAGAACTATTTTTTGTTTATAGAGTAACTACCACATGGTACTCAGTAACTACCACATGGTACTCAGTAACTACCACATGGTACTCAGTAATTACCACATGGTATGCAGTAATTATTGTATGTTTCACCCACTTTCATTTTGTATATACCTATGCAGACCTTAAGACAGTGTTACTGACATTACAATCGTTCTTTTGGCTGATATCGAAGACTTCTCCTGCCATAGTCATCTGCATCTACTTCTGTTAGTCTGGAGAATACCTAACTACCTGTTTACATCATAAGAAACTATATACAGATAAGTCTTAAGTTTGATACACAAGGTACGCTTTTATTTTATAATTTTTGAGACAACAGATTTAATAACCTGGTAAATTATCACTATTTATCCCACATATTGTAGTCAAAATTATTTTTTTATTTAAAGTTATAAGTTATAATTTGATTCGTACAGTACACTCTTACTATGATATTTTATATGAAAATTATTAACACGTATTCATTTTAAAGGTTTTTGTACACGACATGTTTCGAAACATCATCGTATTGAGACATACATAAATTTCACCTGTTTTTATTAAGTAGCTTACTTAGTTCAAAGAATACAGTTACTAAATTCAAATCTATTTAAAATAACTTGCGGTTTTATTGGGATCACTGTGACTAATTGATGATACTTGTGTTCGTTTTCAATAAATGTTTAATGTAGGATAGTTATTTCTGACTTTTATTCCTGATAAACATAATAGACCCTTAATGCTGTTGATGACTTTATTTTAGTTATGTTGTGATATCGTATTTTTCTTTTTGGTTTCTTACTTTACCACTCTCATAAACAAAGTAAGTGGCGCCCTTTTCACTGTCTTTGACCATACCTATTTGAATTCTTAACATCAATATTAAAATCTCTGCAGCCTACATATTATCATTTTTTTATTTTTTAACAACATTAGAAAGTCACTGTGAGTCAGAAGCCTTACCTACGAACCCAGCTTTCCTCTAACCCTGAGCAACGGATTCTTTTTTCATTCTATTTGGGTAACGACAGAAAAGTCGTCACACATAGACGGCCAATGACTGCGACAAGAAGACGAATATAAAAGGGTACCAACGTCGGTTCGACCGCCTGACGACCCTTATTTGCACCTAAATGGGGAATACAGATTCGGGTCGCCTCGACGTCGGTATGCGACCTAATAGGGAATGTAATTCCACCAATTACCAACGTCATATTACGTTGGATTTCAGTTACTTAAAATTCGTCGCTAAGCACTTACGTTACGTTTGGTTTCAAATTCGCTACCAAGAGTACAATATGGATTCATAATCACTCCTCGAATATAACTATAAGTGCCTACCTAATTTCATATTATAATAATTCTGAATCATTAATCCAGACATCAGTTTTGTCAACGGAAGTCACTTTTTTTATATATCTGATTAAAATACTCCGGAAAACAACGAGCGCCTTCAAAATTAGGTAGATTTATGAAATAAAAATATCTATAAAAAAGTAACTCGCACAATATATTTTTTTTATTTTCTAGCTAGTTTAATCATAAAACTTTACTGTGGTTCCCCCCAAACTCAACCTTATCAATATTATTCTACTAAAAATGGGAATGTGAATATAAATCTTAAAAACAGAAAACGATTTTAAAATGGCTGACAGTCGGACACACGACCGAAGTCGTCACCGAAGTGCACAAAGTCTGACGTCGCTTCAGGTCAGATTTAGTTCGAAGTCGGATAGATGCTACTTGGCTCCTTTCAAATAAACAGGAATTCGCTATTATTAAATCAACTATCTAAAAACAAAGTATAAAGATTGTACATTTCCTCTTCTGAAGCGAACATAGAAACAGACAGACGGTGACAAATTATTTCAATTTCGAGGCGAGACACAAGAAATCGCTGACCTAGACTCCAGGCGGAAATGCATCACAACTTACCTTTGAAGTTTGCCAGTTTTAGACAGAGGTTTGCTATATTCTGTGTCTAGTTGTACCCAACATAGTGCGATGCTTTGTTTGAGAAATATTTTGCTTCAGAGTTGTGGAATTGCATATACGTGAACAGAGACATACAGGGTGAGTTTCCTACGATGTTCTCTATGGGTATCTCGGAAACTAGTGGAGATAGAGAGTCGGTTAAATGGGGAAAGAATTGCAGTTTTGTGGGGTCGTAAATATGCGCCTTTCAGATTTTTGAAAAAGTTCATGGTTTACTAGATATTTTGAAAAAAACAGATTTCGGCTATTTTTAAAATTGTCCCTAATTCCATTATAAGCTATTTTAGACAAAAAGTTTTCAGATAAAAGTTGTAGATAATCACATTCCTAATGAGACTGTATCCTCCGCTTTTTTCTAAAGCCTGTCATTTTTGACATATGACACAAACATAGGCTTTTTTAAATGGAAACCATAGTTGGCCATGGCTTCATAAAAAGCGCCAATTTTTAAGCTTTTCAGCGATATAAGCTATAATATGTTTTCTTCGAAAAATTACTGAGCTATAGCCAGTTCTTCTCATTTTTAAACAATTTCACTTAGTTAGCCATGGAAACAAGTTTAATCGTCTTTGCTCTCATAAATGTGAAGCTGTCACATCCAAACTTTGCAAATTAAAATACATACAAATTGTAAATATGAATTTTTCAAATGAAGAAAAGCGTGTAGGATTATTGGCTCAACTTTTCTTGACCATACATTTTCGAGGATACGTTGACCGGTGAATGTTACGTTTTTTAGAGAACGGCTTTCAAGACATGTTAGAAAAGTTATATTTAGTTATAGCCAATTCTTATCTTTTTTGGCTAATTTCACTTAGATTGCATAGTATTCTTATTCTGTTATGATTTAGAACTCAGAATATATTACTAAACGGTTCTTTACAATTTACATTACACAAACTAAAACTTAAAAACATAATATCACTACATACACTTTAAGTTATTTTAAAAAGTGTTCAAAAAATGCACCATTGTTTTGAGTTGCATGTTTTTAAAACTGAATTATTACCCATTCTCACAGAAGGACCGGTTGACTTAATCAAACTTCTCTCGTACCGCCACTTCGAGTGCCTCTCTTAATTCATAAGTTCCTTTGTAAACCTTACTGTTAACTATACCGCATAAAAAATTCTAAAATGGATAGGTCAGGTGATTGAGGAGGCCCATGCAATTAGTGCACCTCTCTCTATCCCTGCGTTTGGTCAAACCAAACCTATATATTGAGGCGCCAGTATCTACACGTTTTTCTTCATTTTAAAAATTCATATTTACAATTTTCGTTTATTTTAATTTGCAAAGTTTGGATGTGACAGCTTCACATTTCCAAGAGCAATGGCGATTGAACTTGTTTCCATGGCTACCTAAGTGAAACTGTCTAAAATTATAACAATTGGCTATAAGTCAGTAATTTTTCGAAGAAAAGACATAATAGCTTATATCACTAAAAAGCTTAAAAAATGGCGCTTTTTATGAAGTCATGGCCAACTATGGTTTCTATTTAAAACAACCTATGTTTGTGTCATATGTCAGAAATGGCAGGCTTTAGAAAAAAACGGAGAGCACATTCTCATTAAGGATGTGATTATCTACAACTTTTATCTGAAAACTTTTTGTCTAAAATACATTATAATGGAATTAGGGACAATTTTTAAAATAGCCGAAATGTTTTTTTTTTTGAAATATCTAGTAAACCATGAACTTTTTCAAAAATCTGAAAGGCGCATATTTATGACCCCACAAAACTGCAATTCTTTCCCCCATTTAACCGACTCTCTATCTCCGGTAGTTTCCGAGATACCCATAGGGAACATCGTAGGAAACTCACCCTGTATAAAAGGGAATTCTTAAATTATAATGCAGAAAGAAGTTAGATTACAAAAAAAAATAATTACTTATATCAAAGTAATATACAGGGTGGTCCGAACTGTATTTCGGAAACTTCAGTAGCATATTCTGCACATAAAAATAAGTAAAAAAGTTCGTATAAATGTATGTCCGAAAATGCTAAGTTTCGGAGATACAGGGTGTAGAAATTTCATTTTTATTTCGATTTTTTTCAAATAATTTTTGAAGTAACCTCAATATTTGGATGAAAATTGGTGTCTAGGTGTTGTTTGACATGAAAAAATTAATTTTGATGTCAATATGATTCCTACTTACAGAAGGAGCCACCTACATATTTTTTAACTGGTTTGAAGAGTAATAACTTTTCGCCCATACCTGTATAAACGTACTCAGTAAAAAAATTTACATTTACGACGTTTTTTACGTGAAAAAAAGTCTCTTGGTAAAAATCGCTACGAGTAACGGTTCTCGAGATATTTTGAATCGAAATTATCAATACCTGTCATCATTGACATAAATTAAACATGTTAACTAAATAGTTATTAGAATGAAATCATAAATTTGAAATGTTTTTGTGCCAAAAGTTCAACAGAAACTGTTTTATCGTCATTTTTTCGAAGAAAAATTTATTATTAATTAAAAAAAAAACAAAAAGTTCCCAAATTTATCAATTCAGTTAAATAAAATTATTTACCCAACACGTTTCTTTTTTGTCAATAATGACATGTATTGACTATTTCCATTCTAAATATCTCGAAAACGGTTACTCGGAGCGATTTTTACCAAGAGACATTTTTTACGTAGAAAATCACGGAAATGTATATTTTTTCACTCAGTAGTTTTATACAGGTACGGATGAAAAGTTATTATTCTCCAAAACAGTTAATACACATGTAGGTGGCGCCCCCTACAAATAGGAGTCATATTGATATCGAAATCAAATTTTTCATGTCAAAAAACTCCTAGTCGCCAATTTTCATACAAATATTGACGTTACTTCAAAAATTATTTCGAAAAAATCGAAATACAAATGAAACTTCTACACCCTGTATCTCCGAAACTAAGCATTTTAGGACATACATTTATACGACCTTTTTTACTTATTTTTATCTGCAGAATACGCTGCCGAAGTTTCCGGAATACAGTTCGGACCACCCTGTATATTAAGAGGTTTATTTTTCTATTTGTTTCAGGAATATCTTCTTTGAAAGACGTAGTCCTAGACATAGAACCAAGAGTAGTCGAATTCGGTAAAGAAAGCACTCTGCGGTGCAGTTACAACCTAGAAAATGCTCCACTGTATACAGTAAAATGGTACCGAGGTTTACACGAATTCTACAGGTTTACACCGAAAGAACTACCAAATACCAAAATATTTCCATTCGAAGGAATGCACGTCGATGTAAGTATATTATTGATTGTAAAAATAATATAACCGTTTCTTTAATAATCATATTTTAATCAAATAGAGTGTATTAATTTTGCTATTATAGAATCACTATTATTTTACATTTACTATTATGTTAAAGCAATCCTAGATTTAATAATTATTTCTGTACATAATCAATGTAACTTAATTGCTACAGTAAGTACTTAAACACACAAAGTAATATACACTTGTTTTTATAAATCAACCACTATTAAATAAATCATAATTTTTAAGTGCCCGATACTCATTTCTTTGTGTTTATTGTTTGTATATTTCTTTTAATACCCATTCATCAAGTAAGGATATTTAGGTTTTACGAGAACTACAAAACATAGCGTATGAAGTTTCGAAATACTCTAATACCATTAGGATTTATTGATCTTCTAAGCATACATTTAACAAGCTTATGTTATTTTTAGTAATGTGTTTAGAGTTTAGTTTTTTACATTTTTGTAAACTATTTTAATATCTCTTATTTTTTCTGTTGTACTAACCTATACTTATCTCTAATAGTTTTTGAGATAAATAGTAAAACATGTGTAAAATTAACAAAAAACCTGATCGTGAATAAACATTGGTAAAATAATGAATTAAACATTTTTAAAGTTGAAATTTTGGGTTATAAGTTAACGAAAGTCGATATATTCGATCTGCCTAAATAAACCGATTGGATATTACGGAAAGCTAAAATATTATTTATTTCCGTTTGTAAAATTGCTTAAATCTTTGTTATTTTAAATTTAACCCTATGTATATTATTTAAAAAATCAAAAGACTAATAAAATTGTTTTTAACGACATATGATTTTCCTATATCTAAACCTCTTTCTAATCTCTACTCATCTTTCCTATATCTAAACCTCTATCTAAACCTCTTCTTAAGTAGAGCTATACTAAGGGCTGGCAAATTCTTAAATAGAGCTATACTAGTTTTGGGTCGAGATTTCTGCATGTAAGAAGAGTACAATGGCGTTTATAATGTATTGAACAAAGAGAGGACAGTAAACACGTTGCCAAACGTATGAAATAAATCGAGAAACTGTGCATATCGCTAAGAGACGTGGAAGGGGATATAGCAGATTTATCGCAGTTGACCGGTCGACCCAATCAATACCTCTGTCAGTACTTAAAGTTCTAGGGAAAGGTGTACGTTATGCGTTCAGCTTCACGATTTAATTACGTCTCGTGATACTTAATTTGCTTATTTATTAACGAGTCGTTGTAATTTTTCCTATAGCTTAAATTTTTTTAAGTGCAAGCTAGAAACACTTGCATTTTTGGTAAAAATAAGTGGAATTGAGTGGGTGTTCGACAGTGGTCGCGCTATTAGAACTCTGAATTCAAAAATCGATATCTCGAAATCTATTACAAATAATAGATTGTTGTTTTTTCAAGAACTTTGTTAATATTTCTGCTGTATTTTCTTTGTAGACAGTATGTGAAAATCTTGGTCTAAATCGGAATTAATACTATTAATAATTAATATAACGAATATTTTCCTGTTTTCAATTCAGTACAAAGAAGGTGCAGCTGGAATGTGAAAAACAAATTACGAGAAATAAGATTAATAGGTACCTACCTAAGGTCATGATTATTTTGAAGCTATGATAAAAGCAATAAGCGGCGATAAGAGCTATTTAAAAGTATTTTTTATGTGTATGAGCTGCGAACGAGGCTGCGAGACTAGTCCAGTGAAACCAGTTAGAGCATCCAAACACGGGTCACCGGTCGTCTAGCTTTCGAAGCGGAAGCGTCTCGAACTCCGAGCGAATCTCCCTCCACTCTACCTTCGTAGGTAAATAATAGGATCAACTAAAAAAATTCTTCCACTGTATAACCGATAAACACGAAGAAGTTTAAACTTTTTTTCTTGCGTTACATTTATACCCGGTTCACAAAAAACACCGTACGTTTTCTCGTTATAAAAAAATGTCACCTTAACGATATCCTTATAATTCGATTTCAGATGCTCAGAAACATGTCTAATGATTTTATCTAGTTATTTCTTGAAAAAAAAAAGTCTTTTAAAAATAAGCGGTTTGCGATCGTGATTTTACTTTACTTGATAGGGAAAGGCGTATCGGCAACGCCGCAACGGCACACCGTCGCGCGTCGCGTCGGTCGGTCGCATTTCTCTCACTCCGACTTAATAAGATCCTTATGCGATTTACTTCCACACAGGTAAATGCCGACCCAAAAGTAACAGTTGCCAGCACGGTATATAAATTAATAATTGTATTATTATAGTTTCATTTAAAGAATTTCGTTATCATAAAAATTTTAGAAATTTAGCATGTAAACTCTGATACTTATAAAATTCGAATATTTTTGTCATGGTAACGATTTTCTTCAAAAAAAAATCATAATAGAAGTATTATCTTTTAAATGGCTTTACTGAAGAAAGCAGAAGGTTTAGGTTTCGGTTTAGGTATAGGAACATGATATATCGTTGAAAAGCAATTTTATTTGGGTTTTCGTTTTTTAAATAATATACATCGGCTTGAATATAAAATACCAATAATTTGAACGATTTTATAACAAATGATTGAAAATTGATTTAGGCTGATCAAATATGTCGACTTTCCTTAACATATAAACCAAATTTGAGGAATTTATGATTGAATATATATATTTTTTTAAACGAGCAGTATAAAAACAAATACCTCTTTAATGCACATATCTATGTACCGGCACGTTTAGCTAGAATTACCATGGCTTGTTTGTAACAAACTGCTCATATATAGAATAATTTATATTCTAAGAGCTTACTCAGGTCTGATACCTAACTATCGAAATATATGGCTCTTGTTAAGCCAACTTAATTGCTGCAAGTACAGTATAGATAATTAAATAGCTTTCAATAATGCACGTTATACATTATTTATGTTACTTAAGATATGTCATATGTATGCAATAATTTATTTTAGAATCTAATTTAGAATACAGGGAATCCTCTAGGTAGAAATATATTTTTTTTGTTAGTTAATTTTCTTAATACATACAACATACTACCATTAATCCCTGACTAGTAATTGACACGCATCAGAAGATTGTTACGCAAGGCGTTTTTTTCATGAGTTAAATAACTAGAAAGGCCAAATTCGTTTTAAAATATTTATTGGTTAAAATTACAACTTTTAAAATGGCATCTGCCTGAACAATAACTAATAAGAGAATACAAATTGTCTAAGCTACTAAAAATGTCTAAACTAATAAATTGTCTGAGCTGAAGCGGCGACGCGTACTGTGGGTTATACCGTGCTGGCAACTGTTACTTTTGGGTCGGCATTTACATGTGTGGAACAGCGTTGTTACAAGGGCAAAAATTTTTGTACTATAAATGGTGTCGAAATTGTACTTTTTTAAGTGGGATTGTACATTTTTGGTGCAAAAATGTGGGGTCATGTGATCTCTCTATTTACAGTACTTCTGTCCGTTCTGTAGCTACGGGGTATCCGTGAGAGGGGAAACGATATTCTCTCGATGTTTTTCGTAAAAAAATAGACGACGCGTCCCATCAATAAAAATTCAACAAATTTGCAAGTAGCCAATAAAACGAGTGGGCGGAGCGGTTTGCGGTGACGCACTCGTCAAATCGACGTATAAAATATATTGCTGTTTATTTAAATGTTTTTTGTCCGCATTCCTTTCATAGACACAGATCCAGCAGATGTACTGTACCTTTTTACCAAGTTTTGGTACGTAGGGTGCATCCACACTATCCTAAAAACAGCGGAACGGCGTATTGGCTTAACGATTTTTGATCGATTTCCTGCAATTCTATTGGCTGAAAATTTTTGCCAGGTGAATTTGACAGATAAAATTTCTGACAGATGAATTTTTCAGCCAATAGAATTGCTGGAAATCGATTCAAGGTCGTTACGCAGATACTCCGCCGCCGATCCGCTTTTTTTAGGATAATGTGGATGCACCCTCACAGAATTATACACCATATGCTATCCTCCTTTCACGCAGTTGAGCAGCTCTGAACTGTTTAAGAACGCGATACTCTCCCTCCGTTCAATTGAGTCATAAAGTTCAGAACTGGTTCCGCGCCATATGGAGGCACCAGGCGGCACCAGGCTATCTCGCACAGGTCCTTTCAGAACCGTTCTGAGCAGCCCAGGGCGTAAAGCTCTGGAACTTTAAATCGGAACTCTGGCTCGCAAATGGAGGACAGCAATACAGAAGCTACAAAGAGCTTTGAATAGCATTGGTTAAATGGGAACTAATTGCGTGACGTCACGTTTGAAATCGGGACACAATAGATCTCTAAGGTCGCAGTGATTAGCCCCCCTCCTAGTCACCGCACGGATATCAAACTTACGTTTGACATCCGTGCGGTTTGAACAGTATTTCAAGTGATGTATAATTCTGTGCCTCTGCTCCTAGCAACCTGCATTTCAAATCCACGCATTGCGTATCACCGTTCGTCTAAAAATATGTACGTGGGTTTAAGTTTGGGTTAGTTTGTGTTTGAGAAGTAAGAATTGTACATTTTTTCTTGCAATTGTACCTATGTACTCCTTGACTATCAAATGTACCCAAAATAGTACAATTGTACCTATTGTAACAACACTGGTGTGGAAGTAAATCGCATAGGGATCTTATTAAGTTGGAGTGAGAGAAATGCGACTGACCGACGCGACGCGCGACGGTGTGCTGTTGCGGCGTTGCCGATACGCCTTTCCCTATCGAGTAAAGTAAAATCACGATCGCAAACCGCTTATTTTTAAAAGACTTTTTTTTCAAGAGATAACTAGATAAAATCATTAGACATGTTTCTGAGCATCTGAAATGGAATTATAAGGATATCGTTAGGGTGTCATTTTTTTATAACGAGGAAACGTCAGTAATCGCGATAATTTAAAAACTCAACTTTTTAAGCATAACAGGTTTAACCACTTTAGATATTGAAACGCAATGCTCCGCAATGCCCCGCAATGCCCCGCAATACCCGACAATGCCCAATGC